GCAGGGTAAAGAACCCTGGGTGCCTGACTGGATAGATGTGTCACATCCAGCCATAGGAGAGTCCAAGAGGGAGGCCAGTTCTGGTAAGTGGTACTGGGGGGGCAGAGGTGACATTGGGGTTAGCATGGTCTTGGGCATCTCCTCTGTATCTTAATATTCAGTTGCTGGACTCAGTGGCCACAGTTGAATCTTAATTTACCTTCCTTTCTGGCTGGCTTCTTGTAATTTCTACTCTGACTTCTGGATGATGGTGGTAGTCCACGGCTTGACCTCTATGTTTTTCCCCATGCTCCTTTGCCTCCGTAACAGCATTGCCACACATTAGCCTATACTCAGTTCGCTGTAAGAGGTGGACGTATCCTTATATAGGCTCTGAGTGCCAGATGTCTCACTGAAGCTGGATTTGCCTGCTTTGCCTGAGCTTGTACACAACTCTTTGCCACTTTTTCCTGAGATTTCCTGAGGCATGCCTATGAAGGATCCTGTGAAGATCCAAGGTGTGAGTTGGAGTGCCTCTTCTTTTTCCAGCCAGAACTCTACCTCTGTATTCTGTATTTTGGCACCTCAAGAGGTACCCCCTGTGGCCAATTCAAGCAAGGCCTGCTCTGCTGCCTTTTTTCTGCATATGTCAGATACACACTTACCTATCTATCATCTATCATCTATCTGTCTACCATCTATCTGTCTGTCTGTCTTACTGTCTATCTATCTATCTATCTGAGGACAGGGTATCCTATGTAATCCTCAAACTCACAGAGGTCATCTGCCTCTGCCACCCAAGTTCTGCAATTAAAGGCATGTAACCACTATGCCCAGCCAGATATGCACTTGTAAAGAGGCTGCCCAGAACTGAGTGTGGTGATACACACCTGTCATTTCTATAATGAAGCTAGCAGTTAGGAGGTAGAGGCAGGAGGATCACTGTCAGGTTGATGTCTCAAAAACAAGCAAACACAGGAAATGCTGCTCATTCCCAGAAAAGCCCCCACAGGCACTTTATCAGAGTGTATCTCCTTTTAGATTGCTGGCATGGACTGGAGGGTTCTGTAGAGGAAGTGTCCCAGTTTGAGACTTGTAAGGCCTGGTTGAAGGCCTATTCCTGTGATATGTGTGACCCAGTCTTGAAAAACATTTTGCACCTTGCTGAACATGAGGGAACACAACTTGGACAGAAGACATATACATGTGAGGCATGTGGCAGAAGCTTCAGGATCAGTATGAACCTTCACCAGCCAAAGGAGCACAGTGTTAAGAAGCACTTCATGTGCTGGGCAGATGAGAATGTCCAAGAAGGCCATAATGTCCAGCACCAGGCCACCAGCAGCAAAGGGAAGTTGTGCAGGAACACCCAACACAGGGCAGTCTTCCCATCAGGCAGCCATGGGCAGCAGCAGGGCATCTGTAGTACACAGAAGTCTTTCAAATGCAGTGACTGTGGAACAAGCTTCCAGAAGGCCTTTACTATCCTTGACCACCTGATAACTCACTCTGAAGAGAAACACTTCAGATGCCCAACAAGGGGAAATGGCCCCAAGGAGAACTTAAATCATGTTAATGACCAAAAATTTCACACTGAAAGACCATCTCATATATGTAAGAAATGTGGGAAGGCCTTCACCTACCTATTTAAACTGAGATCGCATCAGAAAGCTCACACTGGAAAGTCATGTCATACTTGTAGCAAATGTGGCAAAGCTTTCACCCGCAAACACTCGGTGGTTCTGCACCAAAGGGTTCATACTGGTGAAAGGCCTTATGAGTGCGACCAGTGTGGGAAAGCCTTTGCTCACAGCTTCCAAGTTCTTCGGCATCAGGTAGTTCACAGCACAGAAAAGCCTCATGAATGCAAACAGTGCCGGAGAGTCTTTCGTTGCATCTCTAACTTTGTCAAACACCAGAAAATACACAATGGAGAAAGGCCTTATCAATGCAATCAGTGTGGGAAAGCCTTCATTGACAGGTCCCACCTGATTCGTCATGAGAAACTTCATAACACAGAAAGGTCTTTTGAGTGTAGTGAATGTGGGAAATCCTTCCGACAAACCTCCAAGCTTGTTCAGCATCAAAGGACTCACACTGGAGAAAGACCTTATAAGTGCAACCAGTGTGGGAAAGCCTTCAGTTGCCTCTCCAACCTTGTTCCACACCAGCGAATTCATACTGGAGAAAAGCCTTATAAATGTTCAAAATGTGGAAAAGCCTTCATTCAAAGCTCTGCTCTCACTCAGCACCAGAAGGTTCACACTGGAGAGAGGCCTTACAAATGCAGTGAATGCGGGAAAGCCTTCAGTTATAGGTCTAACCTTGTTAAGCACCAGAAAGTTCACACTGGAAAGAAGCTGTATGATTGCAGCTGGTGTGGGAAAGCCTTTACTGAAAGCTCCATCCTCAGTCAGCACCAGAGAATCCACACAGGAGAAAGGCCTTATGATTGCAGTAAGTGTGGAAAAGCTTTCCGCTTTATCTCTAACCTATCCAAGCACCAAAAGGCTCATGCTAGAGATGAGCATTCCAAATACACAGGACATGGGAACACCCTCGGGCTTTCTTCTGCTGCATTGTAAAAGCACTACTCATGAGAACACTTAGGTGAGGAGAACTTTTCTAAGGAAGCCATCAGACAAAAGATGTAACTTACCTCCCAACATCCCTCACCGGGAGAAGTACCTATCAGTAGTGCCAAAAACCTGGAAAGCTCTGAGGAGCCTTGTTAGTTACACGTTCTATTCAGTCCATGTCCTTTGTCGATTGTGTCACTATCCTGTCATCTCACCTCTAGCTGGAAGGCCTCACAGTGTGTGCCTGACATACTCAGGGAAGGCAGTGCCTGTGCTCTTGTTCCCTGGAAGTAGTGACGGGAGTCCTCTGGGGTCATCTCAGTCTCTGCTTCTCTCCCCTATCCCCACTGGCATAGGCTCTGCCCTGACCTAGGTCTCTCCAAGCGGACCCAGAGTCTGCTAATGACATCCAGAGCTTTCTTTTCCAAAGACTTGAGTCTCCAGATGACATCTGCAGTAGATTGTCTAGCCTCTAAAAGACTCAACCTTGAATCCACTTGCCTCCAGAGAGTGATAATAAAAGCTTTACTGTTAAAACCATCTTTTAATCTGCAGGACTTACCCTCTTTGTGGGGAGAAACTGAAAAGATAATTGGGCTCTAACAGGGAAGGGCTCTGGGAGGTGAGGGGAGTGGCTTTGTTTACCTCACAGGAAATATTAGGATGCAAGTAGCTCTCAGTGCAGTTGAACCTGGTTTGCTTTGAGGTACCAAGTCTACTCAGATCTAGAGGGTCTCTGTGGTCTTGTTCATGAGTCCAGGTGCCAGAATTACCTCTTGGGGTCAGAGCTTTGGAAATTGGATAGTGGTGTGGCAATCCCCAATATATCCAAGGGCAGCAGGAGTTGGTCCCCTCGTTAAGTAGACATATCAACTCAGTACATGTTAGGGGAGACCAGTGGCAGAAAACGTGCCAGTATAAGGGAGAAAATAGACTTTGAGTTGAAGCCCAGGAGTCAGGTGACAACAGGATGGGATGTCAGGAGAGGATGACTAAGGAGAGGCTTGTCTACTCTCGCTTCCAGGACAACAGGGTACAAGCTCACTGCCAAAGGGTCCTCTAAGTGTCACTTGCATTCACAGGGGCTGACTGGTCCTGCCTGGCCATTAGCCAGGTTTCCTCTCTTGTTCTTGAGTGATAAATGGAGATGTGAGGGCAACAATTCCTGTGGAGGATCTAGTGGTTTGTGAGAGGTCAACCTTAGGTCAGGGTGATTTATCCCATGACAGATAATGGGTGAAGGTCACTTGTATGTAGCTGGGAAGATATGTACCCCACAAAATGCTCAGGAAAGGTCTTAGGTCAGTGGTTATGTCTTCACATTATGATGCAGTATGGGGACTCGCAAGAAGTGAGCCAGGAAATGACTGACCTGGATGCCATGGGCAGGACCTCTGACGGGGAAGGCTTAGCGAGCCTTAGGCCATCTGTGGACACACGGGCTCTAGCTGGGGCCTGGCAACTCTTGCTCTGGGTGGTCTTACAGCCTCTTAGGGCTGTGTCTCCATGGTCCCTGGGGCTATGGGGAGTTGCTTGTGCACTGTGGTCTGGAACAGAAAGTTTCTGCCCTGGTGACCCTGGAGAACCACCTTGGACACCTCCCACATTGGAAACCACCATGAAGCATTCCAGGAAATGACTCCCAGGCATTGATGGCCCAGCATCTGGTTGGCCACTTGGAAATGCCCTTCTAGGGAGATGTAGTGCATGTCACATGAGCAATGATGCAAGGAGCCCCCTTCATGATCACCTTGGAAACAACTAAGTGACACTGCCCTGGGATTTAGGGAAATAGGTTGGCTTAAGATCCTGATCCACACCATCCCTCAGGGTCAGGTTCAGTTCCCTAGTGGGCAGCCATGGGTGGGGTGGACTTCAGCTCCCCATGCTGCTGGAAGGTAAGGGGCAGAAAGAGGATTGCCTGGAAGCTGTGTCTTGAGTTTAGAGCCTAGATCTTCCCAGCTTTGGAACCAGAGCTAAGAGGCCCCCAAGTCTTTGCACTTGCCTACTTCCCACTGTCCCAGAAGGCCTACCCCAAGCCCTTAGGCTCATTTCCCAAGGGTGAAGACAGCCTGAGGGCAAACGTCCTCAACTGTCACCCTGGCCAGAGGAGGTGTGAGAGTTCTGCCAATCCCATTGGACCCTCCCAGCTTGGTTCCCACAGAACTGGGGATCTTGCTGATGGAGCTGGCAGTAGTGAGGTGAAGGTACGCAGGTTTTCATCCACGGAGATCCTGGAATTCACAGACCTGGAGCCCTGATGTAGGAGATGGTGTCCAAGGACTCGGGTTTCTCCTGTCCTTATACAGGTTTGGGTCTGCCTCCATTTCTGGGGGCTGGAAGGATGACTCAGCAGTTAAGAGGACCAGGGATCAGTTCCCATGACCCACAGGGTAGCTAACTGGCAGTAACTCCAGTTCCAGGGGAGGGGAGCCTCTGCAGGAACTGCACAAATGCAGGCACTGCACTTACATACCCGCAGGCAAAAGACTCACACCCATAAACATCTTAAAAATAATTTTAAAAAGTCAGTTTCCCCTGCATCTTGAATCTAGACCGGGAGTATAGAAGGGTTCTTATTTTAGGAATTTTATGGAATGAAGTCTGGAAGGCTGTCCCAGTTAAATGGAAGTGATGAGATGGGAATGTTCTGGGGACCTCATGTCACCCAGGTTTAGTTTGCTGAAGGAGCTGTGGAAGGTTTGGAGCAGAGGAAGGAAGTGCTCTGGTTTTAAGCTTCTAGTGGAGAACACACCCAAGTGCTGAGATTACAGGAAGGAGCCACCATGGCTCCTTGGCTCCAGCCACCATGTTTGGCACCCTATCCATGTTCTTGAGGTCCAGTCCAGCTCAGCTAGACTTCAGCTTTGATTCCACACACACATACCTCCACCCCCAGGTTGGAGAACCAGGCCTGGGCAGGTAAATACTGTGACTGAGCATGTTGCAACAGATGCCCTGTGCAAGCCACCCTGCCTACGTGGGATTCTGCCAGATGTAGGCTCACCTCCCCACTACTGGCAGGCAGAGGCCAGGGGCATTGTGGTGTCTAAGTCCACCAAAGCAAAGGCTGAGCCCTGGTCCTGTCTGTCTCCAAACACAACTCCCAGGAAACATTCTTACCCTAAGAAACAGGTGCTTTGGACCAAGGCTACAGCTGGAGAACATGCACGTTTTGCTGAACTGACATTTTGCCTTTTGGGGAAATTTTTTTTTTTTTTAATGTGTATGAGTGTATTGCCTGCATGTATGTCAGTGCACCCATGCTGTACAGTGCCCACAGAGGACAGAAGAGGGCGTTGGATCTCCCTGGAACTCTGGAACTGGAGTTAACAGTTGTAAGCTGCCATGTGGGTGCTGGGAATCAAACCTGGGTCCTGTACAAGAGCAGTCAGTGAGTGCTCTTAATCCCTGAGCCATCTCTCTAGCCCTCTAGAAATTTTTTTGGGATAGGGTCTTAAGTAACCTAGGCTGGCTTTAGTCTTCACTAAGAGCTAAGGGTGGGTATGAACTTGCAACCTTCCTGCCTCTACCTCCCCAATGCTGGGATTACAGGCATGTGCTACCATGCCCAGTTTTATATGCTCCTGGGGATCTAACCTAGGGCTTCATTTATTATTTTTTGGCCTTTTTGAGACAGGGTCTCCCTGTAGCCCCAGCTGT